GGGGGGGGGGGGGGCGCAAAGGGGAGTTTATGGAGAGAAATTTAGCCCCAACCTAACTCTAAACCAAATGAAACATTTGCAACACGTGAGGGTTTTAGGCTTGGGGTGAAAAATGTCAAAATCGAGAATCATTGTTTTTTTAGTGAGGTGTATATGCACCATTTTTCACGTTATTTTGCACCAACTAACTTTTTAATGATCCATTTCTTAATGGTCATCAAACAACTGGGGAGAAGATATACCAACGATGCATACTATTCTGGAATCTTAAATCTATGGGACAATTTCCCCAAGAAATTCGAGATAAATCTCAAAATTTTACCATAGGATAAAAATGTTGACTATCTGCATGGGAACTTAAACAAATGTCTGACTTGACCATTCGCCTGCAACACATCTAAGTAATCCGAAAATTAATTTAAAGCCGTCGTTATTAAATTAACCGGAATTTTGGAGATATCCCATTACATATTTCAATAGCTGCATTTACCATAAGAATTGCATTTTCAAAGAAAAAAGTACCGCTTTATTGTGTGAATATTTTCGAATTCAATGGATTTTTCAAAGACAAAAAGTCAAATCAGGCATTTTGTCGAATGCCTAGGCAAATTGTCAAATATTCTAGCTTAGATTGAAATTCTGATTATTTTCCTAATTTTACGCAAAATAATTCATTGCTCCTGCAAGAAAAATTCTCAGTAAAAATTTGCACCTCATAAATATATTTTAAACGACTTTTAGCTCCTGAACAGACACTGATCTTGAACTTTTCAGCATGTCATAGAATACAGAATTTTCGAAATTTCAACATTTAAAAATATGAGAAGCGATTGAAGAGGAAGAAACGAAAAGAGTTCGTAGGTTTGATGAGTTACTTTCCCAAAAATAGTGAAAAATCGTGAGTGCTTCGTCATGAATTTACAAAATTTTTTAGACCGTCAAAATTTGACTATCAGTCTAGGCATTTGAAAAAATGACTGATTTCACTATTTCCCTGCGACATATTTACAATTGAAACTTAAATCAATTTATTTGAATGGACAAAATAATGGTCAGTTTCTGCAAATGCGTGCCGTAAGAAAGGTCAGTTTTGGAAAGAAATCATTCTTCGTTTTTATCGAGCATTCATTGTATTTGCTGTAAAAATGGAAAGAGGTGCCACATTTTCATCACATTGGTTTAAACTCCTAATCCGTTTGAGGTTTGAAACTCAGTCTTTCGAGGCGCGATCAAACAACGCGAGCAGTGAAACAAATCCTACGAATTGTATTTTTCCATTTGAATGCTTTCGAATATGTGCATGTGTTGTTGACTAATCGGGTTTCTATTCTGTTAAATTACGTTTATGGATGCTCGCTAGTTTCGTCAATTTAATTACGACCCAGATTTGAATTTTTCAGAGCGGTCCTCGGTTTTCCCCTATTTCCAAGAACACACGCTGCCATTTTAAGAAAGAACTCCTATGAACATTCAAGGGTCCCCAAATTTCCTCGGTCAAAACACTTATGTTTGAGAAAAGTTACGCGTATTTTCCCTTGAAATTTTCAGATGTTTCAGATTAAATTTCTGAAAAAATTGTCTGAAAAATGTGGAGAAAAATATTCACAATTTTCCCAGTAAATTCTTTATTTATTAGGGGAAATCAGGCGACGTCTGAAGGCTCATACGGCGTGGCTTATCAGTACGGCAGTACGCATTTACCTTTCTGGGAAATATAACTCCTTTCTCTCTTCAAGTTAGATCGTTAAGAGAATGAAAATCAGTATCACTCTTTCATCAAAATATGATTAAATCTTCTCAATCTTCGAATTCGAATCTTTCTCATGGGCTTTTTTCATGACTTAAAGACGATCAGTGTTAATGAATTCGATCTTCCTTTGCTGTTATATATTCTTAGTTTTTGTTGTTTTCCTGGGCACTTTGAGTAATGTCCTAAAATTTTAAGGACAGTAAACCATGCTAAGTGTCAATCATGCGTGTTTATTTTACGTGCAGAGGATATCGTACGGATATCGTATAACTATCGTAAAACTATGATTAAGGACTGGTTTATTAATTTTTCTTTTTAGATGTCTTCTTATGCCCAATTTAAACCCTACTAGCCGAATAATTAATAAAGATTCTAAAACAATCAATAAAAAATAAATAACGGAAATAATACTCAAAATTCTTCTCGCAGAAGAAATTTTGTTTCACAACAGATAACTGAGACTTGAGTCAAGTATATATTTTAACCCAAGAGGTTCTTGCACGTTAGGCAAGCCGAACGATATCATAAAAGCTTCAGTTTCTACTCACTTTTAATACAAAGAAGATATTAATTCATAAAGGAAAACTTTCTAAAGGAAGAAGTCCTCTTTCAAACAGAACGTTAGAAGAAGACACCAAAGCTTTTTCAGCAGTCTCCCGCTTTGCTTGCGGTGAATTCCACTTCGCGAGACCTCCTCGGCTTCAAACGATCCGAAGGCTCTGATTTCCACCAAAACTCCGTTTATTCTACATCTGCAACTTGGGAAATTCAGGGAATTCTTCCAGAAATTGACAGCCCTGAACGGATCCTTCCTTCGTCATGAAATAACAAGCGAATTTCATGTCCGAGGGTCAACTTTACAATGACCTCACAAAAGGAAGGATTTAAAGGTTTCAACTCTTTTCTCCTTGCCAGCAGTGAAAAGTTCTCGTGTTCTACCATAAAAAGAAAAAACGCCGTATGAGCCTTCAAGCGTTGCCAAATTTCCTCCGATAAAATATGAATTGTCAAGTAATCTATGGGATATTTCTCTTCGACATGTTTAGACATTTTTCTTACGCAATTTAATCTAAAGTACCCGACAAATTCAAGGAACGATATGCATTATTTACCTCAAAAAACTTGTTTTAACCGGGGAAATTTGGAAACGTCTGAAGGCTCATACGGCGTTTTTCGTTGGCCCGACAGTGTATACCCATGGAATTAATTTTCCGCGCTTTGTTGAATTTTAATGCATTGTCAGCGCATGAGACTCCTTCGGTGAGTCTTTGATGAGGTGCATGTGAGAGACCCTCGGTCTCTTTTCTCAGAAACGTTTGAAATTTCGCTCACGGACACGGCTAAAAAATAGAGTAAGATTGTTTGTTGTAACGCCCGAGGTAAAAGAGGAGAGGGTTCAAAAGA